ACTTAAGCTTGGAATAATGAGAATAAACTGAGACTGACCAATTTGTTAGTTTGCACTGGAGAGCAGCATTTGTCCTCATTGTAACCCTATCAGAGTTATGCATCACACTCAAAGCTTCGGTGTGACCTGGTTCTACAGATATCCATGTATTAATTGTTTTTTTCTAGAGAAATTATTCATACACCCACAATAGAAGAGCTTCCTATTTCTTTGTTCCTTCACACACCAAAGTGTTCAAAGGATGTTTCCGAGCCTGCTTCAGCCAAGGGTGATTGATGACACAGTTAATACTACCAGACAAGTGCTCAATAGGCCCTTGAAGGAAAAGACTTTAGATGGCTGCTTCTTCCCAACCTCCTCGGCGCAGTTCAGCAAAGTTTGGAACTTCAGTGCAATGCTGGGCTAGGAGACTGCATGAGACAATGGACTTACAGTCAGTGCCGGATTTACGTATAACTAAACAAGCTATAGCTTAGGGCACCACTCACTTGGGGCCCCCCCAAAAAAATTAAAGGACAAAAACCTGGGTGTACGTTTCCAAAATATAAGATAAAAAACAAATAAAACCTACATACAGCAACAGTGTTTTGTGTTGTGTAGGCTCCTATGATGTAAGTAATGAGCCCCACTTGCTAGCCTGCTCCCTAAAATATCACTGGTTTGCTCATTTCTATATAGAGTGGTACCTTCTTAATTGTATTTCGATTCAACAATTACTCTGATAAAATACATATTTTGTTATGTGCAAATGGCTTTAGATAACTATTAGGTCCACAAATTACCATATACTGTAGCATATATTCAACACAAAAAACAGTGGCAATTTGTTGTTGACAATGGACAGCTGGACATATAAAGGGCCCCATGACCTTCTGTAGCTTAGGGTCTCATCAGACCTAAATTCGGCCCTGCTTTCAGTAGTATCACTTTGTGTTCAGTCTAGGGAATTGCTGCTGAAAACTATAATTACATACCATGAAATAGCACTGGAATATTTCAGATATTAATATTGCACAGTTTGAAGTGACTGGATGCATGAAAACTGTTCCTTTCTGAATGAAGCATTGTCCAGACCCATTAGTTATTTTTCAAAATTTTACTTGCAGAATTTTCTTCAAAACAATACAGAAACTCCCAATGATACATCCAAAAAGACCTATACAGTATCTTGAGCTATCCAGCACGGGCTCAGCATCATAGAAAATATGATATAATCCAAACAGACCTAAAAGCAGAGTTTTGTCTCTCCCCACAGCTTGCATTCTGCCTTAGGCTGTTTACCTAGAGAGCTTTATTTACCTCCTCCTTCCATGGAGTTTGGGAGAGAACAAAAAACCAAAGGCAACTCCCTTCAAAATGGTGATTAGGAACCAAATAGTATTTTCCTCTGATCTAAGGTTAGTCACTCACATGTTGGCTACTAGAGAACAACAATCAGTTCTTTATCAACTAGCTAAAGCTCAGGGAGAGCTCTTCTTGCTGTTCTTTAGCTTCAGTGGAATTTCCCCATGTTAAATCTCTTCACCAATACACAGGCATTCCCATTTCTGTGTGAATTAAACCAATTATACTTTACAGTACATGGAATATGTGCTATATTTCATGTCATGAAATACACTGGACTAAATGTAAATTTGTGCTAAATGAACTGATCCATTTGTGAAGCTAGATCATTGGTGAAAATTGGGCAGATACATTTCACTTAATGCGAAGCAATGAAAAATGAGGTTAACTGGAGCCATATGTCTGATGTGATGAGGGACAAAGCAATTCCAATGCACTATGCATAAAAAATAACCAGTGTGCAAAAGTGTCAGGGACTGGGCAGAGGAGAGATAGTAGAGACCGGCTTCCCAGCCTGACCCTTCCAGAGAAGAAGAAGACAATTCAGAATTACAACAGGGGTTTGAAGGAGGTTACAGCTCAGAGGCAGATGAGTGGGAAAGCTGGGAAATAATGGGAGAGGAGGAAGAAGCATGGGGGAACAGATGATGGACACAGTGTCTTTAGAAAGCATTCCAGACCCCCCTTCCCAGAACCTGGCGAGCATTGAAAGTAGGAGAGCAGAGAGCTCAGAGACAGAGGGAACTTTTCAGCACCTGTAGCGATGGCGCATGAAGGGAGAGAGGGAGGCGGTGGAGACTCACTTGGGGCAACACCATTATTCTGAGTGGCTGCTTTCCCAAGCCTCTTTCTGTGAATATTGAATAAAAAGCAGTTGGTAAGAACTTTTCCTTGTCTCATCCATTCCTGGCAACCTGTCATGGGGGTTGGTTCCTCTGCTACCTGACAAAAAGATGCCCTTACCAACAGTAGTATAAGGAGAAGTGAATTTCAGGATGGTCAGGGAGCAGTGGAGGGGCACAGTGACCAATACATCTCAAATCCTGCCAGTTTGAACCAGCCACAGCAGAAGGTAGAATCCTTTCTCTTATGTGCCCCACCCTTATGTTTTGCCGCACCAGTTCTGGGCTAGCACAGCAGATGGACTCAAGGACTGGGCCCCTTTGGTGAATATGTCATGCTTCAGAGCCAATGGAAACTTATCCCAGATCACCCTGCTTCATGGCTTTCTGTAGCTTATCCAAGAATGGAGATCCACTGGCAGAATCCCCTGTGATTCTGATGCTGATATACCCCATGCTGCTATTAAGACAGTATGGGAGGATTTTCATCAGAATTGTGGATGAGAAATAGAATGGTGAAAGGTGGTTGGACTGCAGGGAGGAAAAAAATGATCTTTTTAAATCTAGGCTCCTACACATAGTCTCTGTACAATGTACAAAAGTCAGTTGATATCTTCACATTCCCAAAGCCAGTTGGAGATTATCCATAAAGGCTGAAGAATGTGCAAAAATCAGTCAATATATGCACACTTCCTAAGACCTGTTGAAGTCTGTTTATATTAACTAGATTTCCTCTTCATGGGTAGAATATACACATTTTCCATGAGGCCTGGTGAATGTGCACAATTGCAGGCTGCTATACAGATTAACCACTCACCTAAGGTTTGAAATCTGTCAAGCCAATGACTGCTTTATTGGGCTTCCAGCCAGGTTGCTTGTGAATCAAACAATATTCAACATGTGCTTTTAAAGTGTTTGTTCCTTTCCCCCACTTTGACTCTTTCAAAGTGCTTTTAGGACAAAAACATTTTTTTACATTGCTCACATTTGACATTCAAGCTCCTTTCCTACAACCTCCTTTTCAGGGCAGATTTGGCATACAGGGGTTTTCAATTTGGAAGCTGAACACGGTTTTAGAGTAAAAAGTTCTGGTATGTGCCCCCACTTTTTTCTTAAAATGCCATATGCACAGTGCACTTAGCCACACTATCAGCCTTAGGGGAAAAGAGAGAAAGCAAAAGCTAGGGGACATTTATCATATTCGTACATAGTCATGGATCCTTGGCCAGTATAAGTGGGTGAGTGATGGCCTCAGACAAATATTCCATTTTCTTTATATCTAAACCATTTTTCCCTCTACAAGGCAACCAAATTTTGGGTCCTTGCTTTGGATTTGGGCCAAAACAGTATGCTATATATCTTTCCTGTTCTCTCTTACTCAGATTTATCTGTTGAATTGGGATTGTTATTTTCTATCTTCTCTCTCTTCCTTCCGGACTGTGTTACTGGATTTTGGCATTTCGAATTAATGGTGCCATATTCCTATGTGGCTGAAGACTAAAGGAGAATTGAATATCTATGGACGGATCAGCCTCGATCAAAAAGTGGCAAATTAAATATTGTCATCCCACTATACGGCTCTGTGCACGATAAAATGCACACATAGAACAGTTGTGCACAAGAGCTACTGTATTCCATGACTGGAATGAGCAAGTTTCCACATGCAAATGAATGAATGGACCAATGTCTTCCCTCTCTTGAAAGAAAGGAGAATTTTACATATTGATAGGCACTTATTCATACCCCCCCCCCACGCTGCAAATATTGCTCCCACACAATTCCCTTAGCCATGTGTCTAGTCAGCTTTGATTTTTTTTTTAATGAGGTGACCAGAATTCTTGTGCTCCTGTGGTCCAGTCTGTACTGGTTAGGAGTAGTATTCCTAGTCCAACGTCCTGAGAGCCAGTGTGGTGTAGTGGTTAAGAGCGGTAGTCTCGTAATCTGGGGTACCAGGTTTGCGTCTCCGCTCCTCCACATGCAGCTGCTGGGTGACCTTGGGCTAGTCACACTTCTTTGAAGTCTCTCAGCCCCACTCACCTCACAGACTGTTTGTTGTGGGGGAGGAAGGGAAAGGAGAATGTTAGCCGCTTTGAGACTCCTTAAAGGGAGTGAAAGGCAGGATATCAAATCCAAACTCTTCTTCTTCTTCTTCTTACAGAAGTTCAATTTTCACACGCAATGCTGCTTTGGTAAATCACTCATCACCATTGGCCATACTGACTGGGTGTCCAGCTGATGATTATGCTATGCAGGAGAGGGACTCCTGCAGATACCATTTCATGAGGTGGTGCATTCCTTGGGGTATTGGCACCAGGCCTTCATTGTAGTGGCACCAGTCAGGGCTGGTACACAATCCAGTCACACCCTGTCTCCATGCCTGAAAACAGCACACCAGAGCCTGGGGAAAAAACAGCAGAGTCTACAGAAGTCCAATTCCCATGGAGGGTTCCAATAAATCATAGAGACAGGCACCAGGGTTCTTCAGTGTTATGTTACTGAGGTTTTAAAAGCATACAGAACTTACTGGAGCCCCAGTAAGGTACAATACTTAGCTCAGAAAATGTGTCCAGTTACAGAGGAAAGAGAAAAGATAGAGCCCCACTGAGAGCATTTTGACCTTGAGTCTCATATGACTCCTAAGCACACCCAAGCTGCAGAGAAGCTTTGAGAAAGTTCAGGAACATTCTGCACCCATAAAATGCCATTATCCCTGACACTGAATCTTTGGAATTCCTTTCCATTACATCTTAGACAGGTACTAGCATCAGGTAGGTAGCTGTGTTGGTCTGGCACAGTCGAAATAAATTCAAAAATTGTCCAGTAGCACCTTAGAGACCAACTAAGTTTTTTCTGGGTATCTGAAGAAGTGTGCATGCACAGGGAAGCTTATACCCAGAAAAAACTTGGTCTCTAAGGTGCTACTGGACAATTTTTGAATTTATTTCAGGGACTAGCATAGTTGTCTTTCAGGTGCCTACTGAATCCATTCCTTTAAAACAAACAAAGAAAGAAAGAAAACCCCTTTAAATGGATATCCTTATCCCTGTCTGCATGTGTATTGGGTTTCCCATTGTTTTTATGTGCAGAACCTTGAAGAGCAACAGATTCATTGTGGCATAAGATTTAAACCAGGGGTAGCCAATGTAGCGATCTCCAGATGTTGTGTACTCCAACTCCCATCATCCCCAGTCTTTGGGGCATGACGACTGGGGCTGGTGGATGTTGTAGTTTAAGCACCATCTCAAAGGGACCATGGTGGCTGCTCCAGTAAAAAGCTGTTAGTATTCAATGTGCCACTAGACTCTTGTTCTTTGGGTGCAACAAGCTCACATTGTCCCCACTCTGGAATTTGGATATTCTTAACAACTTCTTCAACCCTCTGTGTCTCAAACCCTCACTAATTAAAGCATGGGACTATGTACTCCCATGAGCCCCAGCCAGCAATATCAGTGGTCGTGGATGTTGTGTGTTGTAGTTCACAACACCTAAAGGATACAATGCTGACTACCTCTGTGTTAGATGTACAAAGAAATGTAAATAATTTACTGTTTATTATATAAGAAGTACACAAATGGAGATGAGGAGAGCTAGGAATAAAATACCTCAGCTGTTTCATCCTCCTTACCTAGAGTACTTAGTGAAAAATTATGTCTCCTTTTTTTCAAAAAAGGTTGAGAGCCACTAAATGCTTCATTTTATAGGTGTTTGCTCCCTATGCCTTTCAAATGATAATATATTCTAGGGGCAGGTAGCCAATTTTCAAGGTTAAAGTATAAGATAAGGACAATTTCACAGCTGATTGATTATGCATTCGTTCTAGAACTGAAACAAACAGAGCATTTTTAATATGCAGCTCAAATATGAGCATTTATTTTATAGACAAATAGATTTCTATATGATTTTTGTGCCTTCTGTGAACTCTAGGGTTTTTTTCTGCTCACTTTAATTTTACCTTCACATAGGTCACTGGTGTCTTGAGGATTAGAGCCTTTTGCAATTTATCTGGGGTGAGGGATGGGGACCATATTTCTCTCCAGTGCTGCGTTCTTCTTCACAGCATGTAGGAATGGCATCACAAAGGCCCAGATGTCCTTATGGGTACCTAACCCCACATAACAATGGTCTCTGTTCTAAAATGAATTACGTAATTTTAGGAAGAATGAATATGCTTTGGATTGACTTTCTAAGTCCTTAATGCTCTACCAGAAAGTGTGGGAATACACACTCATTAAAATGTCTCCCTTCCATTTCCAAAATGATCTGTTGCTGCTGAGATTTGTGGCCAAAATGAGCTGCTAAATGCATAAATGTGCACTAGACAGCGACTCTCCATTAGGGATGAAAGGATCTGTCAGTCTCACTTTTTCCAGTTTCTTTTGCTTCCAACTTGAAATTCACATTTTTCAGAAATTTAAGGAAAAGAATTCAAATCCTCGTGCATTCATCAGCAAATTAGTGCCAATTTCTTCCAATAAACTCATTTTATATGCAGTTTTGATGATGTGCCCATTTTTTAAAATAAATTTTCCCACATAGAATGCATTTTTATACGTTATTTCCACTAAAATCTTCATTTTACGCACACTTCCTCCCAATACATGCATTCTTGTAAACATACTTTGGTTGTATAGCAGCATTGCAAAATTCGGATAAATGCAAATTTTGAAGAGGGTGCAAAAAAACAAAAAAACCACCCTCAATGCCAGCCAATACATAATTCTAAGAACATTCTGTATTTTAGGAATTCTACTATTGAGTTTTCACATGATGTTTTTCCATCCCCTTTCAACTCTCCGATGCAGGCCACTGTTGGCAATGAATGCTATGCCTACAGGATTTGATTAACAAATGCCTTTTTAGCCAGCAACACGTACAACATGGAGTTAATAAGCATTTTCTCCATTGCCTCTGTAGCCCAAGCTATACATGATCATCATCATTCTTTCATTTTGCTTGATTCTTAACAAGCTAACAATCTTAAGGTTGTGCAATAAATTGAGCAAATATCATAATTTCTGTTTACATCTATGGAAAGCATGGAGCTGTTTATCACACTACTGGGTTTTTTAAATAAAGGGACTAGTTCTTTTAAGGAAGATTTAATATTCTTCCAGACAGATCTCCTCACTAGCTCTATATCCCACAGGAACTTATCAGTAATAACTGGTCTCTACGGGAAACAGCAGTGGGGGTTTTTGGGGGGTGATACCAGAAAGAGGGAGCAAGGTGATGATTTATTTAAAGAAAAGTGCACTGGAAAATTAACTGAGTGGCATTCTATAAGTGGTTGCCCAAAGGAGATGTGCTCCATTGTTACTTGGGAAACAACACAGGAAGTTTGACTCTTGTTTATTCTTTTGCAACAAGATGCTGAAAATTCCTGCACACATATTCAAATATTTATGAAAGGTGCCGTTCTGCTTATAGGTCATTCCAACCTCTGCATTTGCATTATGTTGTCTTCGTCTCGGATAATGTCCTCCTCAGGAAAGTGCTAAATGGATGTTGCATTTGCAAATAATTTTGTGGCAGAAAGTGCTTCAAAACTCATGTATCAAATTCCCCACCTACAGAGGTGTTTCCTAATTAGATGCCTGTGAATATTATGAATTTTCATTTCTTTCTTTCTTTCTTTCTTTCTTTCTTTCTTTCTTTCTTTCTTCTTTCTTTCTTTTTTACTTTACCATTTTGCTTAAAAGCCAGGTTTATGTGTGCCTTGGACCACTTTCTCTTGCAAATCCTATGTGTGACTTGAAATGGACAACTGGATTTCATGCATCGAGTCACATGGTGGAAGAGGCAACAGAAGGAGCTATACAATGAATTGTGGCAGTTCAAATTGGCTGGTCAGATAAATGCTTCCTTCATACCTTGTCCCATTTACTCGCCAAGGCATCACATGATGCCTCATTGGCCAAATTCCAATTCATCTTACCAAAGTGAAATCTAGGCCCTCTCCAGCCATTTTCTCTCTCCATGCGATTAACGCTCTATCTCCACCTCCTCCATTTTCTCCTCCTCCACATCTATGCAATCAGGAGACTGTTCTACTTGTGAAAACACCCTACATGTTTGAGAACTCTAGAAATTATTTATTTATTTATACATACATACATACATACATACATACATACATACCCCACTCATCTGGCTGGGTTTCCCCAGCCACTCTGGACAGCTCCCAACAGAATATTAAAACAGGATAAAACTTCAAACATTAAAAACTTCCCTAAACAGGGTTGCCTTCAGATGTCTTCTAAAAGTCAGATAGTTGTTTATTTCCTTGACATCTGATGGGAGGGCGTTCCATAGGGTGTGTGCCACTACCGGGAAGGCCCTCTGTTTGGTTCCCTGTAACCTCGCTTCTCGCAGCGAGGGAACCGCCAGAAGGCCCTCGGCGCTGGACCTCAGTTTCCAGGCTGAACAATGGGTGTTGAGACGCTCCTTCAGGTAAACTGAAGACTATTGAAAACCAGGCTATTGTCCATTCCCCTTCAATCATGCACTAGTTCCCAAATTCTGCCCCCCCCATATATCACTTGAAAAATTCTGAGGGTCTTGGTGGACCACTTAATGATTTTTCTGCCTTTTGAGCAACTATAATGCACTGTGCTGGGTGTTGTATTGATTCAAGATTAAACTTTTTCATTCTAACCTCCCATTAACTGTGCTGTTGATCCTCTACACTCCTTTCAAGTCCCATCCCCCCCCAATCTCATTTCCAATCCGTCCTCCTAATCTTCTGAGCAGACCACCAGGTTCTAAGAATGTGCACTCACACTTTACACTGTGGGTGCCCTTTGCGGGATCGTGTGCTGTGCTACAGTTCCCAAGGAACTTACTGGCAAACAGGGACTGGCCTGCCTCTCAGTGTTAATATTTGGAGGTTCATGCCCAGCCTCAGTAGTCAAGTTTCATTGCTGGGAGGTGGGGCCAGCCCCATATATATAAGGGGGTGGAGCCGACAGCATCCAGGCAGTCGGCTCTGGAGATTAACCCTCTCTCCCCTCCTCTTGTTTGCAGGTTAACTTTTTTCTTCCTGTTTAGTGGGCACTGCTGTGGTCTTTGACTGGTTGCTGTTGAAGGACCAGGAAGAAATTTTCCTGCATTGGCAGGTTTTGTCTTCTCCATAGCAATTTGTCACAACTTTGGGGGTTATGGCCTTGGGTGGAATCCTTTAGTTTTTTTCTTCCCCATATGGGGGGGGTTGAAGTGGTGACTCACCCCCCTGTGGCGGCGATTCCAGGGTCCCCCTCTCAAAGGGGTTATATATATGGGTGTCACTGGCCATACACTGAAGGGTTGTCAGTGAACTACCCTGTGTGCTGGGATATGGGCTTGGCTGCCTGCTACACGTATGTCTCTCAGAGCACCCCCATATCCCATTTACTCTGATGAGCCCCAGTTCCCCTGGCTGGGGGACTGGGAGGGATACACGTCCAAGGCCTAAGCTTTGATCTTCCTACATTTGGAAGTTTAATAAAGTTGTGGCTTAATTTTAATTCCATATAACGTTGTCAGAGTCTTTAGTCCTTCCTTATGATCCCTGGGGGCTGGGGCTGTCGCCGCAGTGACAGAGCAACAGCTGCACCCAGTGCCCACATCTGTTCATCCCATTGTTCTTCACAGATGCACTACAGCCAACCTGAATGGAACTTGAGGACTACTGGTGGTTTGTAGACCAGAGTTTGGGGGTCTCTGTCCTATGGATTCTATCACACCTTTCAGCTGAAGGCGCAAGCTCGTGAGAAAACAAAACAAAAGACAACACAGGGATTCTTCAGCCCAATGCCAAATTCAACCAATTACTATTGAAGGATAAAACAGCCAATAATCTTTCTTTTAATCAACAGAATCGATCAGGTGCTGCCATAGAACTACAAAGTGCAGGCAGACATGAAAGGCCAGTTTGGCAACAGCTGAAAAAA